CGCAAACGGTTTACCTACCTTCTTAGCACTCAAATTACGGGGTAAATAAGAGTCTTACGCGTTTCAACCATGAATGATTGAGCCATACACACTCGTCGTGCGTTGATAGACCAGTATTCAAAATGTAAAAGACATGGGCAAAAAACTCATTTTCAAAAAATTACGCAAAGCCAAAAAAACGTGATATAGGCCGAAAAACACGAAAGAAATTAAATAAATGCCTAACCTTTAGTATTAGTTATGTCCAACTATTATTCTTATGCGCCTATCAATTTACATTAATGAATAACTAACTATAGCTACACGCCTACTAAAATAGGTTCGAAAAAAAAAGTTCAAAATATTTATTACTTTATACGTTACACAGACGTATACCACAAGGAGACGACTGGGTTATACGAATAATGGTATAATTTGTTTTCAAAATTTTTGCTACTATGATTGCGGACGAAATAATGGTCGTAGGTTCTTTGACCATAGACGTTTTTTGAATCCCAGTACGCCAAATGATCAGATTCTAGAATTTTGTAGTGATCAGACGAAAAAAAAAAACCTAAAAACCACGTAAATACGTAATTTTCTAAGTACAAAAAACACTCTAAAAATCATAACTCCCAAACCAAAAGTCGGATAAACTCCATCTCGGTGCCAATCGTTCGGGCGTAAAGTGCTCAATAGAGTACGACTACAGAACGGCTCGTAGCGCCCAAAATCTAAGTGTCCGTGCCAAAAAACAAGAAAAACGCAGCTACCTACCCTAAAAAAACCTCCCAAAGACGTTTAAAAAATGCTCGTACGGTCTCGACACAAGACACCGAATTTAATCACCGACCTTCACACTATAGGAATAACAAAGTTTTAGAAACGTACGACGACTTGCCTAGTTTTTCCGAAATAACTTTCAGGGGGGGGATGGAAAGCACCCCGACTATGCGGGGACTATTTAGGGGGGCTCGAAACAAATATTTTGATGAAGAAACGGTGCACCCGAGTTGAAACCCGACCGAGATATATTTAAATAAAAAAAAAGGGGGAGGGTAATTTTCGATATGATATGCGCGTGGCCGCCCACGACCCACAGCTGTTTACAAAATATATCTACGACAATCCCCGGCTGCAATAGGACCTTCTTAAGTTGGGTTAGGAAAAAATTCAGTTGAGCCTACATTGTGCACCACCGTACGCGCGAGTGAGTGTACCCTGCACCGGCATAACGGACAACAAATACATGTTTACGTGTAATGTGTATTATACGTTTTCCCCCGGGTGGCTTTGGGCGGCCGTGTTATGGTATAGGGGAAATACGGGTAACGGCGTTACCCACCCACTATTTGTCGGACCTCGTCGGCCTGGGTATCCGTGGATTCGTCTCACAGAGCGGCGTGAGACAAGCCATCGCCCGCGGACGTAGGTACGCCTTACCATTCGCCCGCCAGAATTCCAGAGATTAGGGGGCCGGAAAAACGAGTTTTCTCGGTGCCCGAGGTCCCTCGCTCAACGCGCGTACCACGGAATGTTGTAGGAGGGCACGGTAAATTTTAATAGGGCAGACTCGAAAAGAACGCTTTTTTAATAAATAACATAAGTATTATATTATATGGTGAAGATAAGATACACCAAACAGCACGCAAACGGTTTACCTACCTTCTTAGCACTCAAATTACGGGGTAAATAAGAGTCTTACGCGTTTCAACCATGAATGATTGAGCCATACACACTCGTCGTGCGTTGATAGACCAGTATTCAAAATGTAAAAGACATGGGCAAAAAACTCATTTTCAAAAAATTACGCAAAGCCAAAAAAACGTGATATAGGCCGAAAAACACGAAAGAAATTAAATAAATGCCTAACCTTTAGTATTAGTTATGTCCAACTATTATTCTTATGCGCCTATCAATTTACATTAATGAATAACTAACTATAGCTACACGCCTACTAAAATAGGTTCGAAAAAAAAAGTTCAAAATATTTATTACTTTATACGTTACACAGACGTATACCACAAGGAGACGACTGGGTTATACGAATAATGGTATAATTTGTTTTCAAAATTTTTGCTACTATGATTGCGGACGAAATAATGGTCGTAGGTTCTTTGACCATAGACGTTTTTTGAATCCCAGTACGCCAAATGATCAGATTCTAGAATTTTGTAGTGATCAGACGAAAAAAAAAAACCTAAAAACCACGTAAATACGTAATTTTCTAAGTACAAAAAACACTCTAAAAATCATAACTCCCAAACCAAAAGTCGGATAAACTCCATCTCGGTGCCAATCGTTCGGGCGTAAAGTGCTCAATAAAGTCCGACTACAGAACGGCTCGTAGCTCCCAAAATCTAAGTGTCCGTGCCGAAAAACACGAAAAACGCAGCTACCTACCCTAAAAAAACCCCCCAGAGACGTTTAAAAATGCTCGTACGGTCTCGACACAAGACGCCGAACTTAATCACCGACCTCCACACTATAGGAATAACAAAGTTTTAGAAACGTATGACGACTTGCCGAGTTTTTCCGAAATAACTTTCAGGGGGGGGTGGAAAGCACCCCGACTACGCGAGGACTATTTAGGGGGGCTCGAAACAAATTTTTTGGTGAAGAAACGGTGCACCCGAGTTAAAACCCGACCGAGATATACTTAAATAACAAAAAAAAGGAGGGGGGTAATTTTCGGTATGATAAACACGTGGCCGGGCACAACCCATAGCCGTTTACGAAATATTTCTACGACGCTCCGCTCCTGCGCACTGGCGATGACAAAATTTCGAAATACCGAACGCCGCAACACTCTGTATAGGTGCACAACGGACACTTTGCTCACACCGTATAGCCAAACCGCGGTACACATTTCTCTACTTTAGCGGCTTAATGCCTAAATACAATGTTTGGCCACCGTCACAATTAACCAGGTTTTCTTATCGTGATTCGCGGCCCAGACCATTTATAAATAGCTTAGAGTGGGTAAACACTAGATACCGCAATGAAAATAATAGTCAGTACCTACAAAAACAATATTATTTAATAATAAACCAGTGGTCTCGTATGTCAACGATTATTAATAGTAATGTACTATTATCGATTATCATATTTTATCATGTGAGTGATTCGACTACAACATCTATGAACAGCGTCTGCCTACAGGCCGCCATTGAGCCATTCACCGTTCGCCATTCAGCATTTCAGCAACTGAGCATCGTTTTTTGTGTTGAACGCCGTGTGTTACTCTTCTTTTAATTTTATTGTTTTGCCGTTGACTCATGACCGTTTTTTTTATAATTTTGTGGAATAAGAAGCAATCTTGGTAAGTTGGAGCTTGGAATTACTCAATATAAATCATAAATATTACGTTAAAATATTTTGTTGGAGGACTGTTTATAGGTACCTAATCCTTATACCTAGTTTAATATTTTAGCTAAACTATATAGTACAAGAATCGTAATACATGTCTATAATATCTAGTATCTACATCCACTTTGTACACTAGCTCACCTGGCCAGTCCGCCCCTGACTTTTAAAAACAATATAGTTTGTGTTTGAAAATCGTTCCGAATTAACATCACAGAATAGATTCTTTTCTGTGGTTATATGTCAGGTATTCGGTGAGATATTAAAAAAAAACACGTGAACTCTAATAATGTTATCTGAGACATAACACATATACACCTCGTAGTTGAATAAATTTAAATTAATTCTAGTACATCTTTTTCCATAGGCATCTTTAGTAAGTACTATGTATCTACATATTGATAAACATTTTCACTGATTCTGTTAAAAAAATGGGTACCTATAAAGTATAAACTCCCAATGTAATTTGATATATTTTATTACAGGTCAAACAATAGTAGGTATTACTAATACTATTAATTTTTTGTAATTTTTATTAGATATTTGCCTGCTCATAAATTTCATTAGCGCCTCGATTAGCGCCCAGCGGTATCCATAAATTGGAGATTTGTTACAACTTATTGCCTTTTGTCTTTTAGTATATCGTAAGTATTAAGTATATAATACTTTAATTATAATATGTACCTAGCTATTTTATTATTATTAATTAGATAACCTAAATATAAATATGAAAATAATATATTATTATAAATTTGAATACTATAGCTAATTTTTTATACAGTAAAGTATACTAATTTTGATACAATTGCATACATACATAGATATTATAGACTATAGAGTATAATATCTGATATAATAATATAATACTAATACTCAACAATAATGTTGACCAAAAAAATAATCAATTTAGTAATATATTATTATATCTACCTAGGTATAATATTTAAATGTTAAATCATGTTTTCATAAAAAAAATTGAACAAAAGTATATGTACTGTCATCAACTTTTCTAGTAATATTTTATTTTGGTTCAAATTAATATTTTACAATTTAAAAACAAAAAAAAGATACATACATCAGACAATAAAAATTAATCTTACTTATTATTATAAATAAGTATTTATTTATAATGTATTTTCATTTGTTACTTTGATTTAATTAAACTAAAATAGTACATTATATATTTATTTACCTGTACTGCAGGGTACAATTTTTTTTTCAACTTATTTGAACATTTATTATGTCTTAAATACGTTTATTATAGACTCAAATTAAAGATAGGTATTTACAGTTTACGATTTTGTAATTTATTTTAGTAGTCATTATATATATTATTAATATTTAGTAAAAATTTAATCTTCTTATAGTTTACAATAAACATAAGCTTTCAATTCTATTCAGTATTTATTACTAGTATAATAATACCTCCTTTATAAGTTGTTGTATTACAATTTATAATAATTACTGTTTATTGTACAGTTTTATTAAGAGCGGATAATTTATATTAATTTTATATGTGTATGCTATATTATTAAATAGACATTTTCCCCTTTTTAATATTAATTTTCTACTTCAATAACTTTTTTAATCATACTATTGAATACCTATTGTTAGAATCATCAACATTATTTTAATAATGTGTTTTTTTAGTTAATATGATAAAAAGTCAAAGGACTAAAAGGCGTAAAATCAGGAATGAGCTTATACCATTCAACCATAACCCATCTGAAAATGATCCCTTTATAAATTCGATCACCACTGACGACGAGTTAACAACCAGAGAACTTTTACCATGTCAATCTATTCAAAATAACAATATATTAGTTTTAAGACCAGACGTTGAGCCCGAGATTGAGCCAGTAAGGTTATCAAATGATCTGCCTATGCCTACTTCTACTACATTGCCTGAAATTTTTGAAGAATCAGTAAAGATTAAGGATTTTATTGCATCTTGGGCTATTCAATATAAAATTCCACATAATGCGCTTAATGGCCTTTTATCTGGCTTAAAAAAACATGAGTGTTTCCAAAGCCTCCCACTTGATGCAAGAACTGTTTTATGTACGCCAAGACAAATATCCAACACTATCAGAATTATGAATCCTGGGATTTATCACCATTTTGGTTTGGCATCGGGTATAAAAAAATATGCCCCAGAAAACTTATTAGAGTTGAAAATAGCTGTTGGAATCGATGGTTTGCCCTTGAGTAAAAGTAGTGGAAATCAGTTTTGGCCAATATTGGCGTATATTATTACACAATGTTCAACCAAAAAAGTTTTTCCAATAGGAATTTATTACGGCCAAAGTAAACCAGAAGACAGCAATGAATTTCTTTCTGAATTTGTCACAGAAGCTGAAGATTTGATTACAAATGGAATTACAATAAATAATGTTATTATAAAAATATCTATAAGTTTCATTTGTTATGATTCTCCAGCTAAAACATTTGTTTTACGTGTCAAAACCCATTCAGGATTTCATTCATGTACCCGTTGTTTCATTGATGGTGATTATCAAAAACACAGAGTTTGTTTTCCATACAGGAAATTTCCCTTAAGGGATCATAATTCAGTTATAAATAGGATCGATGAAGATTATCATACATCAGAATTACCTTCAGTCTTAACAAAATTAAATGATTTTGATTTGGTAAAATCATTACCACTTGACTACATGCATTTAGTCTGTTTGGGGGTGACCAAAAAGTTATTGTTGCTTTGGAAATCTGGGCCTTTAAAAACACGTTTACCCTCTAAAGATATTAAAAGTTTATCAAAATCATTATTGGCATTAAATACTGATATTTCATCTGATTTTGTTAGAAAGAGTAGAAGTCTTCTTGAAGTTGGACGCTGGAAAGCTGTTGAGCTAAGATTTTTTTTACTTTATTCAGGGCCAGTTGTTTTAAAATCTATATTAAATAATGAGTGTTATTCTCATTTTATGTCATTAAATATTGCGATGATCATACTTCTTAGCCCAAATCACAAATCTCTAGTGGATTATGCAAGACATCTACTAGATTACTTTGTAAAACAATTTCAAAATTTATATGGAGAACACCTTGTATCACATAATGTCCACGGTTTATTACATCTATGTGATGATTATGATCAATTCGGACCACTTGACCAATGCAGTGCATTTGTTTTTGAAAATCATATGAAAGAACTAAAATCTTTTATAAGAAAACATGAAAAGCCACTGGAACAGATTATAAATAGGTATTCTGAAATAAATTCAATTAATTTAAAGACTTTCAAAAGTACACAATTATGTTATGAGAAACCTATTCTTAAAAGACCTCACACAAATGGTCCTTTAATAGATAATATCGTCGGAGTTCAATATAAAAGTTTATTATTCAGAAATTTTCATATTTCTATTAAAAAGCAAAAAGATTCGGATAGTTTTATTTTAACAAACAGTGGAGAAGTTGTTAAATGTGTTAATGTTATAGAAATGAATAACAATATTTTAATAATTGGAAAACAATATAATAATGCATCACCTTTTTTCATTGAACCAATAAATTCCATTAAACTTGATATTTATCATGTCAATAATTTATCAGAAACATTAAATTGTTGGAACATCACAGACATAAAAAGAAAAATTATGATTTTCAATCATAATAGACTAATGATTGGAATGCCAATAATACATACAGGACAATAAATTACCTCCAGGTATATGATAATTTAATAAATGTTATTAAGAAGGTATATAATGCTTACTTATATATGTTTAACAATTTTACCATCATTATGATTTAATTATAGATAAATATGGTGGTTTTAATATACAATATTAAAATCAAAAATACATAATATATTTAGCTTTTATTTAATTTTGTTCTATTTTTTTAAATTTAAATATTTTTAATCAACAGATGGGTAGATGGGAAGTTGTCTTATTTATTAAAGATAATAGTATTGAAGCAGTGCCTGATACATGGGTAAAAAAAAATCACTGTGCTTGGCCAAAGTCATCAAAAAACATAAAAAAGTTAATTAAAAACCGATACAAGCCAAATAAAACAGAATTTTTTTATTATCCAGCACGTATCTTGGGAACAAAAAATTATGGTACCTATTCTTTTAATTATTATTGCATATATTATTCTTATATATAGTAACATATTATTTGTATTTACTTATAATTGTTGTTTTGTAGCAACATTAGCTGAAGCACAATTCAAACTTCCAAAAGCAACTACAAATTCGGACTTGTCTACAACAGAAGATGAAGAAAAAAAAAAAAAAAGAAAACATTTGATTCATCTGCAGGATTAGTTGACATGCATGATCCACCTACGTATAAAGATTATTGTTCTAAAGGTGAGTTTTTAAAATACTATTTAAAGTTTTTTTATTCAATTTTAATTTGAATACAATTATTTTTATTATTCTATACAATATTATATAATAGAAAAAATAAAAAGTCATATGTGTTACTAATTTATATTTAACTTTAACATTATGTTAAATTAAATATTAAATGACAATTGTAGTTCCAGATCCTACAACGATACAATCAACAAGCCATTCTATACTTTCAAACAAAAATCAAACAAACGGATCTTTAGAAATAGTTGATGAAAATACTGATGGATCAATGAGTGATGTCCAGGATGATTCTGATAATGACCCAAACTGGGAAATGAAATGCTTAAATTATAAAGGTATAAATAAAAATAATTTAAATTTTGAAAAACTCAGTTTATTTGTATTCAAAATGAAATTAATTTTCAATTTAATGCATTGAATTTCATTTTATGTCTGAAATTGTATCAATTATTGTTATCACATTTTACAGTTGGCGATAATAATTCATCTTCAGAAAAAAGTGTTGTATTATTTTCACCTAACACACAGGCCTGGAAAGTTGATGCATTAAACAAAAGAGAACGAACTGAACTTGAACTAAATAAACAAGGTCCGTTTAGGTCACCTGGAAAATGGAATATTTCTAGTCTTAATAATGTAACTAACGATAAAGAGAGATTAGCAAATGTGACAAGAACCTTGATTTTAGATAAAAACAGTGAAATGGTGAATAATGGTTAGTATTATATCTATAATTTAATAATTACATAATAATAATAATAATAATAAAATATTGTATTATATAGTATATTATTTTTGTTATAGAAACAACTTCAGATGTAGGTTCATCAAAGTTTACAAATCCGCCATTTAATGTTGAGGATAAAATGTTCATGTCTTCTCATGGTAATGCAAAATTAAACTAATAACATGTTTATTATTATTCAGAATATATATAACTTCCAAATAAATTATATCTTATTGCACTCTTGAATAAAAACCGTTGCTTACAATAATAATGGTTATATTTATATCTATCAAGTAAATATTATGTATACTATACATAATACAATTGGCATTACACATACAGCAATATATTATTCTTGCATATATAGTAGATTTAATGCATTGTGCAGTAGATATATTAAGAAACATAATTTACACCTCTTAAAATAATATAACCAGCAGTACCTATATATACACTTTATTAATAATGTATAATTATCAGTGTAATTATTTTATACATTTGTTTTGTTTTTTTAGATTTTCAAAAATTTGTATTTACTTCTTTAACACATTTTAAGTATGACATTAGTGCTATGATGCATATTGTTAAAGACACAAATGAAAATTCTAAAGCACTCATATCAAAATCAAATAACAATAATTTTATTTCAACAATTTCTCCGACACAAAGTATTTTGGATATGAATATTTTTCCTATAACTACTGAAGACCAACTTATGGATATAGAAAAAAAGATTGATGATATTCACTTTAAAAATGAACTGGTAATATTGGAAAACTTATTAATAAATGATTTATTACTTCTATGATGGCTGACTTATATTCACTTATATATAATATATTAGCTTTCATTTATCAATTATTTATTTATTTATTTTAGGTATGTAAGTTATCATTATTAGTAGATAACAACAATTTGAACACGAGTGTGCGAAGAATAATCTCACGTTTATGTGATGATACATTGCTTTTGAACTACTCTTTGACTGGATTTAAACATAATAAGACATTTAGAAATCTGAACGTTTATCGTGTACTTATTGGTAAGAATATTACAAATTTGTACCTACATAATATATTATTATTACAACTCTTCTTACCTTATATACATTTATCCCGGCAATATCCTTAAGTATGTAATTAATGTAAATAAAATATAAGTGGCATATACAAGATTTGTTTAAGAGGGACAATCGACAGGAATAATTATTTTCATCAAGCTAATTGATTTTTACCATTCTAAAAAAAAATTGCAACATTTTGTTTTTTAAATACAAATTTATATAATTTACGATTTAGTATGTATCAAGTATTTAATTTGTTTCTATGTTCGATAGAGTAAAACACTATACGTATTATTGTTTATGCATTTAGCAGGCTTATAGTATAATATAATAAAATCTATGTATTATCTTGATAAATTATTATAGTACAACTGCTACATAATTTAAATATAAAAAAAATTTATGAGGGGATCTGATTGTTAACCTTCTTTGATAAGTTCTAAGGTTTTTACGTTTTTTTTTTAAATATATAATGTTAAATACCCACACATCTTTCACGTTTCTGACCAATATAATATATGTTCCTATCTTCTATCTTTTAAATATGCATATATTTTCTGGTAAATTATATAATAATGAATTATTTGTTTAAGATGCTGTGAGAATGAACGTACAATATAGCAAAGTTCCAGATCAAAAAATTGATGTCCCATTACGGGTTTGGTTGGATCATTCTAAGTTTAGAATAAGAGATAAGGAAGAAAAAAACAATAAAAACACATAAAATAATTGTCTTAAATTGTTTGATAAATAATAAATGTTATTATTTTAATTAACTTGTAGTTTTTTTTTCTTTCAACAAAAAGTAAAATATTTTTATTAATTTTTAAAAAAGTACAATAGTAAAATATTCTTGATATAATTTGAATAGAAGATTATAAGAATTTTTGGATGTAACTTTTTGTGAACTTTGTAGGCCAATGTTATCAGAATTTATTAAAACAATTTTATAGGAATGATATGAGGTAATGTTATTAGAACATTTTTAAATAATGTTAAGCGAACTTTACTTTTGTGGCCAAATAATTATGTCAGAATTTTATAGGAACATTGAATAATTATGTGGAAATTAAAATAAAACATTGTTAGAAAGTAATTATTCTATTGCGAACATTCCCACAATTTTTTATTAACATTACATTGCTGTCTGGGAGTGTACCCCGGGCAACGTCTCAGACGGCAAAAGATTTACCAAACTTGGCCATCGTACTGTCCTAGATCTCACGATGACATATAACATTCAACCTACTAATCATAATAAAAATAAAAATGGCCCTTATCAGGGCTACCAGACTCGGGATGTGGGCCCCCAGCTACACATCTTACAACTCAATATAGAGGGCATTAGTCGAAATAAAGCTGAATACTTATCCAGATTACTACTTGATAATAAAATAAAAGTTCTACTCCTACAAGAAACACATGCCGAAAAAGAAGAAGACCTCTTAAACAGAGGCAGTATTGCAGGCTTCAGGCTAGCACATGCAACATACCATAACAAATACGGAACCGCAATATACATCAGGAATGATACCTCTGATTGGGAACATATCTGCACCACAATAACTAATAACATCTCACTTACCCATATAAGAATAGGGGAAATCTAGGAATTTTGTTAAAAATCGTTTTTGAAAACTACTAGAAAATGTTCACTTTTGACATCCTAAAGTACCAACTAGATTCAATTTTCTATCAGAAAAGCTACTGTTGAAGAAAATCCAAGCACTTTTACTGTCCTAAAACGTGATGACAGACACAAAAAAAAAAATAGAAAAATTAAAATTAAAAAATTAAAAATTAAAAAAAAAACACACATCATTGTAAAATCAATACATTCATAGTTCCACGCAGAATCTAAAACTATTTTGTGAGGGTTAAAACCACTCACTTGTTATTTATAGTAGAATTACCAAAATTCCACAACGCATTGAAATAACTTTAAAGTAGCATTTCAATTTTTTTTTATAGCTATTACCAATAATTTGTAATAATTAAATGAAAAAAACATAAAATATCCTAATGTTCTCAAACTGATAACATTAATTTCATTTATCTTATCCAAATAATAAAATTGCGTCGACACAGATAAAGTTGTTCCCTATGCGTTGTAGAACTATATATACCGATTGAGTGGTGCATGAGGGTATCACGTCCTATTAAAAACTACTGCTAAAGTTCTTCTGCTTCATAATTGTATAAAAATGCATGATGTATAATTATAAAAAGTTGCAGTTACATGGGTATATTTTCGAATATAAAAGGTTAAAGGGCTATGCAATAGTTTATGCGCATTGTATTGCGTGACAATAATATCATTATACTTTAACACTATAACCGTAGTCACGCATACGTATGATTATTAAATTAGTCAGTCGAGGAGCCACCTGGTATAATATTAAGTTACATTATTTTGTTACCCAAGTCCATCTCATACGGTCGGCCGATACCAGCAGTATACATGCAGTCGCCATGCAGTAAACAACATACGTATTTTATGTAAAAAATATTAAAATTGCATATTTATTTTTGTATTATAACTTATGGTTGAAGACGTTCAACGATTATAAACTGGTAAGTGTCTTAAATCACTTTTTTGTAAATTGTGAAAACTCGTTATTTAGTAAGTTATTATTAAAAACCAGCTATAATTTCGTGAAAAATTAGTCAAAATTTCTATGAAAAATACATTAAAATTACTTTAAAAAAATAATATAATATAATAATACGTATTATTATAATTGTTAATTACTTTCTTAAATAGCATGATGTACATTAAAATATTACAGATTTGTAAAATAGTATTAAAAATGATAAATGTTATAAAAAAAGCATTTAAAGAGTAAAATTCATTTCTAAATAACTTTTCTTCTTGAAAATTGTATCTTACTTAAAGTATGTTTAAATATATTATGAAAAATTGCATTCAACATCTACACTTGTTGTCAGCGCATATTAAAAAAAAAATATAAAAATGTTGGCGTTATAGGTATCTAAGTTATTAACATCTTGATTTCCTGCCATAACCCCTGAGTAAGTTTTAATAGTTTTATTTAAACGTATGTTTGGGTATCCCAAGTACCAGTGCAATATTTAAGATGATACCATTGGTTATAAATAATATAGAATACTATACTAATATTTATAATAAATGAT